CCCACAAACCATCAAGACTACTAGTGACTGGTCTACTCATGTGAGAGCATGTTCCATGTCTGAAGAAAATTTAATAGACGGACATCTTAAAATGGGGGTAACTCAATGCATTTATTTTTTTTCTGACGGTTAACAAATGATAATCTGGTTTTGGTGACATCGTATTGATGATTCAGAAAAAGTTAATTTAAAAGTTACTATTCTGCCTTGGCTGGTGTAGCTCAGTGGATTGAGTGCTGACCTGTGAACCAAAGAGTCACCAGCTTGATTCCCAGTCAGGGCACATGCCTGGGTTGCGGGCCAGGTCCCCAGTGGAGGCATGCATCAGAGGCAACCACACGTTAATGTTTCTCTCCCTCTCTTTCTCCATCCTTTCCCCTCTCTCTAGAAAATAAATAAATAAAACCTTTTTAAAAATAATAAAGATTATTTTTCTAAGACATAAGACACAAAGTGTTTCAACCTCACAAATTTAGCTTTGACCTCATCAATAGCCACAAGATTTCCATTGTAATTACTCCCACATCTTGTTACCCATATTTTATCACCAGAAAAGAGGAGATTTACACCTGCCTTCAAACAGAATTTTTAGAGTTACGGAATATTTCAAATATTTTTCTAATTCAATCCACTTTCATGTAAGGACATGGAAAGACCAAAAGTAAGTGGCTTGCCTGTGTGTCTCATGTAAGCTGGTGGCAGAGCTATCATAGACAAATTCTTGGTTCTCAATCCAACCGTATTGCCATGGAAGGTGAGTTATAAAGAAATAGTAAATTACATTCTATTACTTATCAAGTTTACATACTTAGAAGCTCAGACAAGGATTTAGTAAAGCCCTTATTTTCATAATTAATACAATCCATAGAAGGATAATATACAATTATTTCAACAAATACTAACAAAAATTTTACATTTGGGCTAGTAATAATATTGTTTGTCTTATATTTAATACACCAGCAGTCAGAAATTGACTAATTTTTATGAAACACTTGGTTGGGAGCAGGGTGTAGATAACAATCTCAAAAGAACAGATAGGGCACAAGTTGGGAACCAACTTGATTACAGAGGCAATAAAGCTCTCCAAATATTTGTTCCTCATTCCATCTGTCTCCCTAAGGCAGCACAATGCAAATTGGAGGGAGAAGGCCAAGTTCACATAGCCAGGGTCACATTTTTTATTTACTTGTAACTATTGCTATCATACTGAGGTTGTACTAACACTAATCTGATAAAATTATGACACATTAGAATGAATGCTATTTCAACCACACAATATTGTAGAGATTATAAGATATTTTATATGTATCTGTATTAAACCTCATAACAACTACATGAAGTGAGCAGGACCGTACGTAGGTGATTACATGAACAGCTGACATTCTTCATCTCTCCATACATCCATGCCCCTGTGCATGGTGACTACACAGGTTTTCTCACTAACGAGGTTGAGTCTATCCCGGAGGACTTTAATTCTACAGTCACAGATATGACGTTTTTTGGCAATAACATCTTAATATACATGACAAATGCAGAATCTTCAGAAGGCGCTTACACATTTCAACTTTCTTTCTTACTCACTCATGACCATAACACATGGAAGCTAGATGACTGGAACCAGAGGCAGCAAATTTTTTCTGTGAAAGACCAAATAGCACATCTTTTTGGTTTTGTGGGCCAAGTGGTCTCTACTGCAACTATTCAACTACTCAACTCTGCCATCATGACACAAAAGTAACCCTATAAGATATGAAAATGAATAGTCACAACTGCATTCCAGTAAAATGTTACTTATAAAAACAGCCCATAGGCTGGATCTGGTTGATGAGCCAGTTTCCTGAGCCATGGACTAAGACTGAGACACATAGAGTTGAGTTGCCTCAGTAATACTGGTTGAGGCCATTTAGCATCAGCCAAGCTCCAGCCAGTTCCCAGCTGTGTGAGACATCTGGGCACATTCAGCAACACTGCCTGGCCCACCTACAGCCTTCAGCAGACACATGCGCAAACCCAACCAACATCAGCTCGACCTTGGAGAATCATCTGCAAAGCCACTGAGTTGCAGGTGATTGTACACAGAATTGTTGTGGCCAAAGATTATTAACACAGTAGGTAAACTATTAATTTTGCCATTTTAGAATAAAGGATGGGGCTTAATGAGGTTAAATAGCTTGATCATTCTCTCAGTCAGCCAGAAAGTGTCAAAACTCCAAAGTCCAGAATTCTACTATACAAAACTGTTTCAGTCCTTTATCTTCCTCTTTATTTTAGGTGCATTGGTTTATATACAGATATAGGTAGAGATACTTTAGGCTAATAGATGAAGAATTTGGGGCATCTACATCTAACTTTCCACTGATTGCCCTCCTAGCTTTTTGTTTTAAAAAATCACGTCACCCTAGCTTAAAGTTTGGATTATTTTCTTTGAATTGCTGACACAGATCTCCCTGTGCTATATCATAGTCTAAATTGTCCTGGTTCATATTTTCCAAAACTCTGGTAAAAGGAAATAACTTAAATGGCCCATTCTTGCACACAGTTCCTGTCTCCGCAGTTTACTGCTCCCATTTCATGCAAGGCTGTCAGGGTTTTCTGAATTAAATGTGACTGAGGGTCTGCGCTCACTGACTGAGGAGGCTCACAGGTCCTGTAGCTCATCCACAATCTTGCACTTGAGCTGTCAATTGTGAGAGATTGGTGCCAAATTCAACCCAACACAGCCCCTTCCCAGCAGTCTGCCTTCGACAACTCCTCCTTGTCAGATGCAACAGTTTACATAGGATATATAGTGAATAGAATACTCTGAAAGGTACGAGTGTAGAGGCACTTCTTCCGCTGATGGCAGGGACACAGATCAGCATCCCACAGGGCCAACATTTCAGGCTGGCACAAGAGTGATGATCATAGGATTCTTGTGCTGCTGTTGCTAAACGATCGTAGAGACTCCCATGGCAAACTGCCTCACTGTTCACCCTCTGCCTCCAAGGAGACTTGGTGTGATGCAACTGTGCAACTCAAAAAACTTTTTTTTTGTATTTATAAAGAAGAATCCTCAAGTGGTTTGTAGAATCCATGCAGGATTCCCTAGGCTTAAGTCTGTCTCTGCCTTAAAGTTCCATGTTTAGGGCACCAGAAACTCCACGCCTTTCTCACTGCCTGGAGAAATATCTGGCTTTAGAACCACTGAATGTTAGAGTGAGAAGGTCGCTGTTAGTAGAGCTTAGGTGTTCCTTGAGGTTCCCCTAATAAGAAGAAACCAGAGGTTGTGTAATGATTCTTTGACCGTCAACCTTCCAGCTGAGCACATCATAGATATGCCAAGTTACTAGAAGCCTAGTAGACTCTTTGTGTTTTAACATGGTGAAGGGAAGAACGTTTCAATCAGAAGAGAGAATATATAAAAAGGGAACAGAAAAAGAATATAAAGTTACGTACTGACTGCATCTATCTAAAGCAGACACAGTGGTGAGGGGTTTGTGTCATTGTGGTCTTGCCAGTCCCCTTTGCAAGGCTCTTCCAAGTGTGGAGATGAATGCCTGGTGCTGTACACAATGGACAATGAGTATTTTAGTCCCATTCATGAGATCACCTGTATCTTGAAATGGATGTGTCAGATTATGGTAGTCTTGTGCTGTTTAACATTTGACTCATCTAATTCTCTTTGGTACAAACCCATACTTGCCAAGCATATTTTGGTTTTGTTTTTTGCCATGCAAGCTTGCCTACATGAGCAAAGCACTGAGTCACAAGGCACCTTTGGCAGGGCTCCCTCAGAGAAAAGCAACACAGCCTTTCTGGTTAAAATTCAGCTTCCAAGGCAGCTTGACCACAGCGACAGAATGGACTCATCCTGGGATGTAGACCACCTGACTGTGGAAGTTACAAGACTGAGTTTCAGTGAATTCCTCACCATCCTTGTTTATATTCCAGTCTCATTTATATTTTTGTTCTTATGAGTCTACCCCTCAGGGCCTAATTGCACCTGTCCCCGGAAAGAGTAAGTCTCTGAGTCTTCAAAACAGAGGGACTCATCCCATTGTCATTGATTAGATAACCTTTTTAAACTATGGAGCCTCTTGATATACATGAAATGTTTTCATGTCTCACCAATGTTCTTCAATGCACCCAAGCCAAATCAGTATATCTTAAAGACAGATGTCGTCACCTGCTAAGAAGATTTTACTTTAATATGAAAAAATAATATACCTATATCCTAAATAATACAGGTTATATAAATTTGTACATTTATTGACCCACATATGATTTCCCAGGTAAAAAGATACCTTTATAATGGATAAACCTGGTTGATAATAACTTACTAAATTGATCAAATATAATACCACCAATAATGGAACAAATTGACATCATGTGCCTATTGATGAGCTATAATGTGAGAGACAAAACATCACCAAAAATACTTAATCTGAATCTAAAACTGAGAAAATAACATCCCAACAAAGCCAAATGAAGGGTCATTCCGTGAAATGACCAGCCAGTACTCCTCAAAAAATGGGAAGGTTATAAAAAGCAAAGAAGAAAAAAGTTAAAGAACTCTTTTATTTTATGGACAACTGAATAGAGATGACAACAAAATGCTTGCATGGTTCTTATATGATTCCTGGGTCAAACACGGTGCCAGGATAAGGAACATTTTTAAGAAAATTGGGGAAATTTACATATAAATTATATATTTATTGATATTATTACATTAATATTAAATTTCTTGGGTATGATAGTGGCACTGTGGTTATTTAGAAATTGTCTTGCTCATAGAAAACCCATGGTGAATTATTCCACATGAAGTGTATTATTGATATCTGCAACTTACCTTCAGATTGTCCAGAAAAAACACTGAGTGATCCAACTCGAGAAAATATGGCAAAATGTTAAATATAGGTGGAAGTAAATATAGGTGGAAGACACATAAAGGTTCATTGTATTACTTTTCTACTTTTTCATATGTTTGAGACTTTTGAAAATACAACTTGAGAAAACTAAAATCAGATAAAATGTTTCTTTAAATTCTTTATTTCATATGCCTATTTCAGCAATATTGAAATAATAGTTTCTCATATATGCACTCACTCTTTTTATAGATTTAAAATGTGAAATGGTGAATCAATGTTACAAAGTACAATCAAAATTTATAACAAGGTACTTTAAGAATAAGACAAAAGATGTAAGTATTACATTAAATTTCTAGCTCAAATACACAAATAAAGGATACTGGTGATGTTAATAATCAGACTATGCTTCCCCACCTTAATTTCTCTGTTCCCTCCCACTTAAAATCTTAAAAAGTATTCACTGTAAATTGGAAGTACAGAATTCTTAGAAAACAATTGGATGATGAGTTGCATGGTTCTCCTCATAGGTACAATCTACTCTTTAGCAACCGGTAAGCCATTGAAATAGTAACTCCATATCCCACAAAAAAAGCCAAAGCGCGATTCGGCTGGGGAAGGGGTAACAGATACGCAATTGTGTGGTAGATCCGTGCTCCCACAAAGAGTCTGAAGTGCAGGATGGCTGTTGAGAGGTCTGGACCACTTAAGGCATACAGAAGGCCAATGCCAAGAAATGGCACAATATTCTCAAGGTCATTCAGGTGGGCCCTGTGGAAAAAGTTGAGCAGTAAAATACTAATTTTAAAATCAGCAGAAATATATTCACGTTTCCCTTTCTTCTACAAATAAATATAAGTATTCATGGATCTTAAAAACTCAAAGATTCATTTAATTTCTCTCAAATGGCTTTGCTTCCTTACCTACCCAGTTTTTAATTAGAATGTCTCATTATTTTGTGTTTATTTTTATTTTTAGTGTGTCTCAACATATAACAGAGAGGGCATTTTGCACTTTCAAGAATATTAAATCTGTATTTATATGGTAAAACTCACTTCATTTTTGTAGATAGAAAATACTTTTTCTTCCAGAGTTTGGACAACAACAATTCAAGATTCTTCTTATAAAAAGTCTTCCTCCCAAAGGAAGATAATCCTTTTGATTATGATCTTTCTAAAGTCTCCTCTCTCAATTCTGTCAGTTTGTAAAAATGAGACAATCCTTGCTCATTCACCCAAGCCATGGGTTGCCAAGAATTAATTTACCAACTTAATATCAAGAATCTCACAATCTCAACATCCAAATAACAGAACAGGTAACTAGCCTTTCAAATATGGCTAACATTTTAGTCAATGTACCCTCAAATTACAAAAGTAAGCTAAGTGAAGGGAGTAAGTGGAAAGAATACAGAAAAATGACAGACAATACAAGGAAAAATAATCTTATACCACAGCTAAAAGAAAGCAAAAGCATGGTTTAGCCATAAGTTTTCCTCCAATTCACAGCACCTTGGGTTTCTCTGGCTGGGAGTGTGAGTGAAATGAGGCACATCTATTATTGACTTGACATTTTTTAAATTGATGTGAGAGAGGAAGAGGGAGGGAGGGAGATAGACAGATAGACAGAGACAGAGAGATATGTTTGTTCCACTTATTTTTGCATTCACTGGTTGATTCTCGTATGTGCCCTGACCAGGATCAAACCTACAACTCCGGCATATCAAGAGGATGCTCTAACCAACTGAGCTACCTGGCCAGGGCTTGATATATTTTATAAGTACTTATTTTTTAAGTCTGATGCTTCTGTTTTTATCTCCAGACTTAGAAATTGCTTTATAATTTATAGTAAAAATTAATATTCTCTAGAATTTACCAGCTATTGATACATATTTCAAGATGCAAAATATTTCCGTTTTATATTTTTCTTTTCTTTCAGCAAACAAACTGGGACACACTGTGTACTCAATGATGACCACTCTCTCCCTTCCTTTCCTTTCTCCCATTTTCCGCAGATTATCTCTAAGTCTGCCTAATGGAGATGTTGACAACCTAAAGGTATGAAGAAGATGACAGTAATCAAAATAAATAACGGTTTTGAAAGATTTAAATAAAGAACTACCCGTTCCTGAGTAAAAGCAAAGATAGAAAGGTATGAGTGTTCCTGCCCTTTATTTGATGGAACAACCCAAGGGCTCCTGAGTATAAAGTGGGACGGAAAGGACAAAAATACTATTTTCTATTAAAGAAAGCCCTTCTTTTTCAGTTTGTCTCAGTCTCCCGAGTTCTGCTGGACACAGGTAAGTCTTCACCTGCAGTCACGGGCATGCTAGTTTTCTCCTTCGCCACAGTCTAAAAGAACAGATATTTCAAATTTGGAGGATATTCTTTAAAAGGAAGACCCTGTGGAAATCAGTTCACTTCTAAGCCTGTATTAAGGGACTGGAAAATAGAATTCAGTGTTAAAACAGGGTAGAAAGCCAAGGACAATAAGGGGTAATAAGCTTCGGTGGGAGTAGAGAGAAGGAAGGTCAAGGGCCTTTGACCTTAATGGCCTCTTCATTTTTTTCTGACCTCCTTTCTCTCTTAATCTCATTTCTCTTCTTCAATTTTCTGTCCCTTTCATCAGCTCTCAAAATATTATCACAGATAATATTCCATATTATCCTGGAAAGACCTATTTTCACCAGACCCTGTACTCGTTGCTAATATATGCCCCTTTATACGCTGTCGTTTTTAGACCCTGCCTCAAGCATCTGCTTACCCAGCGTTCCCAGGGAGCAACTGCTGTAGTTTGCTCACCCTCGCACCGTAACCCTGTCTCTGCTCAAAAACAGAGCTCATCTGAGAGCATCAGCTTCCTTCAATTTCATGTCATTTCTAGACAGCGACCCAATTTATTACTGGTGGACATCAGTCTCTCTAGCTGGGTCTGTTCGCCCACCCCATTACTGATGCTCCCATTGGACAGGTGCCCCTTGGCATCTGTGGCTGACCCTTTCACCAGCCCTGCTCTAATGCTCATGATGCTCCAGTGATACCTCCCTGTCAATCATGACAGACCAGAACCACTTGGATCTCAACATCAGCATGTCCTGTGCCAGAGTTCCATGCATCTTTGAGAATTGCCAGGGTGTGGCCAAGCACAAAAGAAGTTTCACACCAGACTCTTCCTGACTCCCTCATCTCACCCAAAGCCCTTCCCACACAGTGTACAGCAGTGTGTCCAAATTCCCACAAAGATATTTTCCCCAATTGACATGATCCCTTCTCTCCTCTTCCCTTTTCTAAATCTTAGTATCCTACAAAATGAACTATTCCTTAATACCCTGGGAACTTATACCTCACACCCCACATCTTGGCATCTAATGGCAGACTGTTTTATATTATTCTTTAATTATTACTTGCACATTGGTTTTATTTTCTGGGAAAAAGTTTTAAAGTTTTCCAGGGCAGGAACCCAGTCTTAAAGCTCTTTTATATCATCCCAATAGCAGAAGTGACAGTGACAGGCACACAAGAATCTCTGAATAAATGCTCCACTCAGGCACCTCGTTTGGCTCCTCACCTGGTGTCTTTAGGCCCTGGGCGGAATCCCAGCCAGCGCCATGTGGCCTCCACCGCACACTGTGAGTGCGCTTTACCTTTGGAGGTGGTATAACCTAAGCACCTCCCCTCTCTCTTAATATGAAATTCAAGCCTTTTTAAAATTGATTCCCTTTATTTTTTTAGCTTCCCTGATTACCTTTCAACTTGCCTTTTATCTTGTTGTATTGAATGGATATGGTCTTGATTTCTTCATAGAACAATTCTAGAGATAGAATTAACTAAATACATATATAAAATATTTTCCAAGCACCACTGATTTCTTTGTCCAGAATGTAAATAACACATTTTAGGCCACTTACCTCATTTCAACACATATTACCTATGTTTTTAATTAAGCATTCCATCTGTGTATACATTAACTTCCTCTATATTGCACACCTGAAAGCATCCTTTTTACTTCATTTGTAGCCCCAGTAAGTCCCTGCCATTGGAATATGCTAACATAAACAGCTTTACAATTATATGTGCGAGTAGTTTCCAAAATAATTTTTTAAAAGTCTAGGGGATATACTGAAAACTCCCTGAAAGTTATCTCCAAAAGTGAGCTATTATTAGGAACACTGGATAGGGCCAGTAATGTTTCAAAAAACAAAACTGCAAACTGGACACCATGTTTTTTCTTAGTCTCCTCTCTTGCCATAATGAAAACCTAGTGTCTGACCACTAGGGGGTGCTGTGCACACAGTTGCTTCACCTGCAGAAGGACTCTCATTTCACAACTACAGTCAATTATTTCACTCAAATTTATTTATTGCTCACAATCAGACTTGAAGATCAGCTTAGATAATGGAATTTTCCTTTCAAAGTACAATCCCATTGGAATGGGGGGGGTGATAGAACTGGGCAGGAAGGGAGAGTGGGGAAGAATTTCCAGCTGATTGCTGAACTAGAGAAGGAAAACCTTTTTCCTTCAGTCTCCACTTCACTCTCTATTCACACGCACCAAACTGAGGAAAAGTCCTCGAATACACTCATGATGTTTCCTATCTTAACTCTGCATCACAAAACAACTGTTCCTTTAAGTATAACTATTAAAACTCTTCATTGTTTCTTTAACTTTATGTAACTTAATTTATTCCTTGAAATATGCCTAGAGTTGAACCAGTCTGGATGGTCATCAGAAAATACTAAATGAGAAGATGGCATATAACTTTTACGTTTCACATGTTAGAAAATGGTGACTCATGGGTTGGCAATATAATCTCAATATATGAATTTTGCCAGGGAATGAACCAAGATGGCAGCATGGGAGGCTTTAAACCCCCTCTTCCCAGACACACACCAAATGTACGGCAACACACAGAGCAACTATCTCTGAAATAAATCCAGAAACCAGCTGAGCCACTCCTCTACATCCAATGAATGAAAAAATACCCCCATCGAAGTGGGTAGGAAAGGCTGAGAGACACTCAGACCATAAACTTCACCCCTGGCACAGTGTCATATACAGGAGGGATTTCTCAACTTCCAGCTTCTTCCTAAGGATTAAAGGGTTTGGACCCCACATTTAGCACCCCAACTTTCAAGACTCCCACTCTCACTTGAGGGATGGGGCCCAAACTCTTCTAGCTGTGAAAGCCAATGGGCCCTAAGTCCATGAGATCCATGAGACCTCAGCAAACAAAGGAGCAGTTGTTCAGGGTCACAGAAGCACTTGCTGAGTGAGGCTATTGTCCCCAGGAATCAGTGCAGAGGGATCAGGCAAAATCGCCTATCTCCCAGGCTTTTCCTGAAAAAGGTCCATCTGCATACTTTGAAAGTTGCTACCTGATGGTCAGGTTTCTAATGGAGCACACATCTATGGGTTGCCTGTAATCCCCTCTGCAGATGGAGAAGCTGACACACAGATCCCCGCCTTCCCCCTGTAGCCCACTCCAAGTCTCTTGTATCTACCTCCCTAGAAGGGGCTTGTACACACTTCTGTGCCCAAGGTTTTTTCACTTCCACCTGCAGGATGGATGGGTCCCCAGAGAGCCTGACTCCCAAGGCCAATACTAAGAGAAAAGGTAGAACGCCCATCTCCCATGATTTCCCTGATAGGAATCCAGCTGCTTACTTTAAAAGCCGCTACTTGAGGGCCAGGCTTTCAATTTACCATACACCTAAGGGCTGGATTTGATAATTCCCAGAAACAGAACAGCCAGTGGACACCTCCCCTGCCTTTACCCTTTTGCCTGCTCCAAGTCAGCGGCTTCTTCCTGGAGACAGGGTGTGCACACACTTGTGCCCCAGCTTGTATACCTACAGCACACGGGACAGGTAAGGTCCCTGGATCACCTGGCTCTCATAGCCAACAGGGCTTCCATTCAATAAATTTTGTCGGGAAAAAAATGAATTTTCAAAGGTAAAAGAAAGAAACCAGACCTTATACTGTATATAAACATTAACTCAAAGTGGATTTAAAAATTGTACATAAGGTCTGAAACCATAAAACTCCTAGAAGAAAGCACAGAAGGTAATCTCCTTGACATGGTTTTTGGCAATGATTTTTTTTTACGACAGCAAATGCAAAGGCAACACAAGCAAAACAAACCCACAAAAGGGTCAACATCAAAATTTAAAAGTTGTGCTCAACAAAGGAAACCATCAATAAAATGGAAAGGCAAACTATGTAATGGGGGGAAATATTTGCAAACCACATGATCTGATAAGGGATTATCACCCAGACCGGTAGGAGGGGGGTGGAGGGGATACCTGGCAAGGCGGCAGACTACAGGTGAGGTGGCAGACTCAGCAGGTGAGACAGCAGCTGGCGGACCTGGCAGTCCCACATTTGCCTGCATATATGTGGGGGGAACAACTGGGGAGCAAGACAGACCTCAAAACCCAGGATTCCAGGAGTTGCAGTGGCAGGAGAAACTCCCACTCCCACAGGACAGTGTTGGAGGGGCCCATGGGATCCTAAAACATACACAAGTCTACATACCCAGGAATCAGCATCAGAAAAGGAACAATCAGCTTGTGGAAAGTGAGGGAAGTTACTGAAAGTCAAGCGAGCGGCACTGTTTCCTCTCTGGCCCCTCCCCCACATACAGCACCACAACATATAAAGTAGATTGCCCTGCCCTGGTGAATACCTACGGCTCCTTCCCTTGCACTGTAGCAGGTGCACCAAGACAGAGAAATATGGCCCATGTGAAAGAACAAACCAAAACTCCAGAAAAAGAACTAAGCAACAAAGAGATAGCCAACCTATCAGATGCAGAATTCAAATCACTGGTAATCAGGATGCTCACAGAAATGATTTGGTATGGTTGCAAAATAAAGAAAGAAGTGAAGGTTATGCAATGTGAAATAAAGAAAAATATATAGGGAACCAACAGTGAAGGGAAGGAAACCAGGACTCAGATCACAGGTTTGTAACAGAAGGAAAAAAATTAACATTCAACCAGAATAGAATGGAGAAACAAGAACTCAGAAAAGATGAGGAGAAGTTTAGGAACCTAAGAGATAACTTTAAATGTTCCAACATTCAAATCTTAGGGATGCCAGAAGGAGAATAAGAGCAACAAATTGAAAACTTATTTGAAAAAATAATGAAGAAAAATTCCCCAATCTAGCAAAGGAACTAGACATGCAAGTCCAGGAAGCTCAGAGAGTCCCAAAGAATTTGGATCCAAGGAGAAACACGCCAACACACATCATAATTAAATTATCCAAGATTAAACATAAGGAGAGAATCTTAAAAGCAGCAACAAAAAAGGAGACAGTTGCCCACAAAGAAGTTCCCATAACACTACCAGCTGATTTCTCAAAAGAAACCTTATAGACAAGAAGGGACTGGAAAGAAGTATTCAAACTCATGAAAAGCAAGGACCTACAACCTAGATTACTCTATCCAGCAAAGCTATAATTTAGAATGGAAGGGCAGATCCAGTGCTTCCCAAGTTAAAGGAGTTAAAGGAGTTCATCATCACCAAGCCCTTATAGGAAATGTTAAAGACATCTGTCTAAGAAAAAGATCAAAACTATGAACAGTAAAAGGACAACAAATTTACACCTATCAACAACTGAACCTAAAAAACAAAAACAAATTAAGCAAACAACTAAAACAGGAACAGATCACAGAAATGGAAATCAAATGGAAGGTTAACAGTGGGGAGGCAAAGGGGGAGAATGGGAGAAAAGGTACAGGAAATAAGAAGGATAATTAGTAGGTAGAAAATAGACAGAGGGAGGTTAAGAATAGCATAGGAAATGGAGAAGCCAAACAACTTATATGTACGATCCATGGGCACATACTAAGGGGGAAGAATGCTGGAGAGGGGTGGTGCAGGGTAAAGGGTAAAAAGGGAGAAACAATGGAATAACTGTAATAATATAATCAACAAAATATGCTTAAAAATTAAATCTTTAAAAAATAATAAATTAAGCATAAATAATCTTTTAAAAAAAGAAAGGAAGGAAATCTTGTCATTTGCAACAACTTGAGTAAACCTGAAGGCATTATACTAAGTAAAACAAGCAAGAGAGAGAAAACCAAATGTATGTATGGTATTACTTATATGGGGTAAATTTAAGGGAAAAAAGTCAAACTTATAGAAATAGAGAAGTGGTTGCCAGGGCTTGAGGTGGGGCAGGTAATAAGGAAAATTTTGTAAAAGAGCACAAACTTTCAGTTAAAAGATAAGGTCTAAGTATTACATGGTGACCATAGCTGATAACACTGTATTATATAGTTGAAATCTGCTGAGAGTAGAACTTAAATGTTCTCACACACAAAAAAGAAAAGGGGTAAATATATGAGATGGTAAATATGCTAACATTAACTTGATGGGAAGAACAATTTCAAAATGAATATGTATATCAAATCATAATGTTGTATATTTTTAATAGTTATGTATTTTTCTTAGAGAGAGGGGAAGGGAGAAAGAGGGGGAGAGAGATGTGAGAGAGAAACATAAGACTGGTTGCCTCTCACACACACCCAAACCAGGGACCAAACCCACAACCCAGGCATGTACCCTGACCAGGAATCAAACCGGCAACCTATCATTTGAGGGATGATGCCCAAACAACTGAGCCACAGGGGTCAGGACATACTGTATACTTTGAATTTCTTCCAATTTTATTTGCCAATTACACCTCAGAAGAGCTGGAAAAAATTTATTTACCTGACTTTATGACAGGAGTTAAGAAATATAGCTACAGAATAAAATTCAATGTGCTTTTAAAATAAGTATATTAATTGTCTTTTTAAGAAGCTGTGTAGATGATATCCTGGCTTACCGCTTTTCACTGTTCGTTGAATTCAGAGTACACTAAACATAATATCTACAAAGGAGAGAGAGATAGGACAGGGAGATATATCCCACACGAATATTTTGAGTCTTACGCAAAATCACTACTTCATCATTCTTTCACATAAGTTGACAGTCTCACCTTTGGAGAAAGATACCAAAATTGCAAAAATCTACCTTCATTTTTTTACCTCATATCTATCATTAGTTTTGATATATACCTGCACAGACCAAAGTCATTAACCCCAACAAAGTGCAGAGTATAGCAAAATTGGCAATAGGTTTAACTGTGGTGATAGTTGAAGACTTCTAGATCTTTAATTTCCTGTAATTATTATATGGATTGACTTTTTTTCCTTCTTCTGCAATCCTCCAATACCCTCACTGAGCTCCTTGACCAAAAATATTCAACCAAGTAAATAACTTCAGGAGATACTGGGCTTACCTTCGTACACGTTCTACTCTCTCATCGACCCGGGAATAATTCTTGGCATTTTCTTTGCCAAAGCTTGCATAGTCTTCTGGGTTGACAAAAACCTATTCCAAACACCAAAAAAATATTTCAAATACCAGATGACAGCATGATATTCTAAGTTATTTTCATTTTAACAGAAGACACAAGCATCCAGAATGGCCCTACAGAAAGAAAATTTGGAGCAGTAGACCAAACACAGGGAGAAAAGAACAGCTGTAGTTTAAATCTGAATTTTTATTAACACTGCAAAAAATTTTGAAAACCATAAATAAGAACTTAAATAAAAACCAATGTATAAAATAGGGAAAAGTAAGCAAAATGGAAAAGAGGGCATAATTCAAAGTCATCATTGACTATAATTATGGCAAACTGATATTTTTTCATACTGATATTCATGCACCTTCTCTCAAGGGCATTAGCATTTCCAATTGATTGTGCGTCTAAAATCATAAGTTTACTTGCTAAAGAAATTAGAAGAGCAAGTGGAAGGAAATGTCTTTTGTACTTTGTTAAGATATGTGTACCTCTCTTCCATTTGACTTAACTGAAACTTTGTATTAATAATATAGTGAAATATAAGAAGTTGTTTCCATTCCTATAAATACCAAGTACATGTTCTAGGGCACAGGAGGTCTGTCCAGAAAGTATCCAGCCATATACTATGAAAAATAGAGACTCTGAAGAAGACATAAGATGCAAGAAACATTGTACACAGGACAATGACACCTCAGTCACCTTCAGAGTAGGCACCCTGGGACCTCACACAGTTCTCCCAATCCCCATTAGCTGCCCCGTTGTATTTTCCTGAACCTCACCAACTGTCTGAAATCTCTTCCCTTTCAAAGGTGATCTTAGTTTTCAGAAAAGCCAGAAGTCCCAATGCACCAAATCTGGGCTGTAGGGGGCTGAATCACCTGGGTAATTTGATGTTTCTCAAAAAAAAACTCTGCAGGAGATGTGATGCATGAGCAGCTGTGTTATGCTGAAGGTGCCACTCACCAGCTGCCCATGGCTATGGCCATTTTCATTATATTGCATCTCTCAGCCAACAAAGAACATGGGGTAGAACTCCTTATTAATTGTTTGACCTGGAAAGGTGCTCCTGATGGACAACACCTTCCCAATCAAAAAACAAAGTAAAACTCTGGCTGACGTGGTTCAGTGGATTGAGTGCTGGCCTGCAAACCAAAGGGTCGCTGGTTCAATTCCCAGTCAGGACTCATACATGGGTTGAGGGCCAGGTCCCCAGTAGAGGGGCACATAAGAGGCAACCACACATTGAAGTTTCTCTCCTTCTCTTTCTCCTTCCCTTCCCCTCTCTCTAAAAATAAACAAATAAAATCTTTTAAAAACACAGTTCACATGATCTTGATCTTGCTGTGACTTTGCCACAGCTTCTTTGGGCTTGGAGTGCCAGACGATTTCCACTGGGATGACGGGGCCTTTGTTTCTGGATCACGTGCATAGCTGTCGATCCACGATTCGTTTCTGGTTGTGACCTTTTGGGAAAATCTGGTTCATTGGTAGTGGTTTGAATCGTGTCATTACCGACCAAAGCCCAATGTTCCTTCTGATCTGATAAGAGAAGCCATGGAGAGAATTTTGCCATGGTATGTTTCATGCCAAGGTCCTGCACCAAAATCTCAGACACAGTAGTTTTTGGACTCCCCAGATCAGCTTCTAGTTCTCACACTGTCAGTCACTGATCTTTGTTGATTGTATGCAGTCAACATTCTCAAGTGTTTTGCTTATTGCAGGTCTTCCAGAACATGGATCTCTGGCAACAGATTCTTGACCATCTTTGAAGCACCTGTGCCACACTTTTATTTGCACTGCACTCAACGCATAGTCCCCGGAAGCCTTCTGAATTCGAATAGTTTCCATGGAGAAACGTTCAAGCTTAATGCAAAATGTGATGCAGATTCACTGCCTTACCCGCTCAGCCATTTTGAATGAAATGGCCACACAGTGCATGTGCTCCCTCAATAGCATCTACCGCCCCCACTGACCAGTACACTGGAGTCGTCACTGTTCACATACGTGCATTCCAGTCCGCTCTCCTTGGCTGCCACGTTACATCGATGTTGTGCAAACCATTCTTGTTACATTAACAATGGCTGGAATTTTTCTGGACAGACCTTATATGTTTGTGTATTTTTTTTCTGCAGTTATTATGCTGTTTGAAATGATTTTCCTATTCCTTGAAACTTGAAACCTGTGCTTAAAAAAGATTTAAGTATGGTCCATTGTTTAATAGTTTATAATAAATTAATAAATAAAAACACAAACTATAAAATTAGCCTTGATATAAGCTCAGCAATCTCATAAATATTATATTTTTCTTAATGTGATATGAATATTTATTCCAGATAAAGATGTTGAGGACACTGATGGACAGGAATGTGATACAGTATCAGCTCTTGATGTCAGTCTTGTTCCTAAGTAAATGTCTGGCATCCACTAGATAGTCAGCCAATAAATATATTTTGAGCAAGTAAATAATTGCAATATGATGAAAAATATATGAGATTTGAGTTAAAACAAATATGAATTTGATCTTTAACCTCGCCCTTTATTGCAGGGAAACCGTGGGCAAGTTACTTTAATCCTCTAACTTTCAGCTATTCAGCTATGAAATGAGGACACTAATGAGGATCTCACCTGACAGTGCTACCTAACAATTATGTGAAACGATTCTATGATCTGGTACATATGAAGGGCATCGTGACTCCTGACACATATCACCAGCACTCTACAAATATGAATTCCTTCATTCTTTCCTTATAAGACAAATGTCCTTATAAGACATTTCTTCTATCCTTGGTGCCACTATGTTTCTGGAGGACAGTGAGGACCTGGTGGTAGGCAGCTATTTTATAGCCTGCTGTTCCAACACCTTGTCCCATTAGAGATTTAAACAAGTGGGTATGTGCCCCATTAAAATGCAAATATCTCTGGGGAAGGAATTACACACCCAGACAGTACGATGAAATACCTTAGCAAGTACTATGACCTCCAGATTAAAGCAAGACTCTGAAGGACAAAATTCAGGACAGGCATTGAGAGAGAAATAAGTGGTTTTCCAAAAAAGAAAAAAAGAAAAAGAAATTGCTGAATAGGGGCCACACCAATGAAAATCATTTAACTTTGTCAAATGAGATTTGTTCAGCTCCCCTCACTTTTCATACACCTCGCTGGAATATGGAGTATATGCTCCAAATCTTCCTGCCACCTTCTCCATGCCTCGAGTTTTCTTTTCTTTTAAATCATTCTAATAACTCTGGGTGGCAATATTATTCTCTTAAGAAATCAGAAGTATACAAAATCAAAATGCCTTGTCCCACAAGAAGTTCTACTGTGGGAATAAGAACTTTATTTTTGTCCCCAAAGGCATATCCTTGACCTGTAACAGAGCTGAAAACACCAGCTAATTATCTGGAAAATGACTATTTTACAAACTCTAGTTGGCAAAATTAACTTCAAAATCACAGATAGTTTCCTTGAAAACTTTGATCTGCCAGAAATCCCATATGCTGAAGCACCATGACGAAAGGTAAAATCCACAATTGAAAGATGTTTACTAGTCTCTGGGGGAAAGCACCTGTTTCATAAATACATTAACTCCATCTATACCAAATGATTGCATACTTCATTCACAACTCTAAACAATGTGCCACTGCAGTATACAAAAAAGAAGTAAATTAAGAAAACTGCTTTTCAGAATTCCAATTCTTAAACGTAAGACAATATATCCTTCAAATTTCTTACCTTTCTTGTCAATCTGTAGAAAGCAGTTGCAGTACTCATAAACATCATTTTTGAAAGAATAATCGTTGTATAGGAGGCAAAGGCCATGAATACTTTATCTTCCATTAGCTGGGTAATGCCAACCATTTTTTCAACTTTGATCTGGAATTTTAAAAAGGTTGTCGATAAGACAAGAAAAAGCAGAAATAAATATCCCAAACATCTTCATGGTAACTTGGTGTGCTGATATTGCAGTATTCTTTAAAGTATCATGGATTACTTGCAGAAGAAATAATCATTTAGTTTTTCGGAAATTTCAAAATGAACAGTATTACTTTTTTCTGGTTCTATGTCATTAAGCTTGAAGACATCAAACAAGTAGAATGAAAATGGAAATATAGCAGGTATTACAAGGCAAAATAAATAGGCAAAATGCTGTAAAGATAGATTAAAGTCATACATGAAGATGAACCACAAGTTGGACACAAAAGATCAGAGTTCATGGACTGCGCTCTTCAAAAATAACCAAACTGGTATGTCCACAGTAGTACCATTAATGTTTGATCAGGAATGACTCAAACTTTAGAAACCAGACTCTTGCCTTTCTGTCACTTTAGTAGTTTTTAAGTTCTTAGCAACTAAATTCCAATGCCACCATTTGATCATTAACCTTGGTTTAGGGATTTGGCCACTCTAAGGCTAAATTTCTCCATTTATAAAATGGGTCTATTAATAGTTCCTAGCTTATTGGGTCGTTGTCAGGATTTAATAGAGATAACATGTGGAATATAGTTAGCACAACACCTGGCCCGTGAAAAACCTCAATAAAGTTTATTACATTCTTATCACGCTCATCACTCACCATGATCATGGTCATCATTCAAGCCAACACATGTGAAGAAGAAGCAGGATAATGTAGCCAGACATAAGATAGGCTTACAAATGCAAGGTGAAAATTTGTCATTAATTTACTTCCATCAAAGAAAGAAGGGAAGGAGGATTAGCTTTATATAATTCTTTAGGTTCTACTTCCATCTAAAAGATGGAAAGGGTAAACTGAATGTAAGTCTGTGCTCAGGAGGAAAGCTAAAGCACAGTGATGATACTGAAGTCCAAGTGGGTAGGAATTTAGGGTAAATCTTAAAAGTTAAACTCCTCACACTATCTGAGCATCACGAATTTTTTAACCTCTTTGTGTTCCATTATCAACGCTCCTATCTGCTTCTCCTATCTCTTTCACACATCTTTTCTCACACCCAAGCCAAAACGCTATTTAAGCTGCTTAGCATGGAATGTAGTTGCTTCTAGGCAATGTTCATTCCAGCCTAGAAAATTCAGCCCCTACATACAATGTTATTAGAATGACCTCTGTCAGATTCTAATCATTTTATCCATCTACCATAACCTATAAATCTATGTATCTTTCTCTGCTCTGTTACTCGTCATATAGTTGTCTACGCACTACTGATGAATGTGATATTAACTGTGTACAATATACATATAATTTTAGGCATCAACTTTGAGTCCAATTACGCCATGTGCTTTATGTGCATGGCTCTACATAATCTTTGTAACTATCACATAATCCTCACAACTAGATCCTTTTTACATTTGAAGAAAATGGGAATTAAATATGTTAAGCAGCCAAGCTGGAGCGAAATCCCACATTTCTGATCTCTTATCTCAACACACACCACACTGCACCTCCTTCAAGAGACGGCAAATGGCTTAATTCTGATTCAACTAACACTGACTGAATGGGTACTCTCTGGCTGGCACTGTTGGTACTCCTAACATCTTCCATCTTCTTTCCTCTTCCCATTACACTACCAGGTGGGTATTATTATTCCCATTTTGTGGATAAAACAAAGCTTCCTATGTAACTCCTATTTTAAAGGGTAAGCCAAAAAATGCACTCCTTAGATTTAGGCAAACAGAAATTATATACTCTGGTTTAAAAACAAAGCAAAATACATATGATAAATTAACTCACCTCCACAAGTCAGTAGTCTTGAAAGGTCAGAATGTCAGATAAATGCTCTATGCAAGGAAATACTTCTGGTAACACATAACTTATCTGCACTTGTTCCAGTGCTGAGGGGTGAAAATCACGAATAAACTGCTCTGTCCTTCAGAGTTCAAGTAAAATAATTAATTTAAGGGATCCCTAAGTCTTATGCTTCTGGAAAGAGATCTGAAACAGTGATGAAGTTAATTTTTAAAAAATGAAAAAAAGTTTATCAGGTAGGGAGTGTTGCTATTTAACAATAATTTTAAAAGTACAACAGTTTCTGTAGGTATCTCTGCTAATGTCCCCAGGATGAAATTTATTGAGCAATGAAATGAAACTTCAGGGAATGTTTTCCTGTGGGTGAAAATTAGTATGGAAAGAGCAGAGAAAAACTCGAAGACTTCTAGAACTGTTTGTGGGGAAAGAGCACACAGATGACAATAGTTGGAGGAAACCAGCAATGAGAAGCTTCTTCTTTAAATGTGAACGTGCAGGGATTTCCAGTCAAGATGGAGGCATAGGTAAACATGGTTCGCCTCCTTGCACAACCATATACAACCATCACTCAGAACCATCAGAAGTCAAGTTGAATGGAAGTCCAACAACTACAGAATTAAAGAAACCACTTTCATCCAGACTGGCAGGAGGGAAGGAGATGAGAAACACGCTGGTTCCACACTCATATGTGGTGGATGAAATTTCAGGAGGGCTATCTCAGGAACAAGGAGTTCCAGACCCATCAAAGTCCCCCAGCCCAGGGTTCCAGTGCCAGGAAGATAAGTCCAAACAACTTCTGGCTGCAAAAACCAATGGGGCTTGAGTCAATGGAAGAAACTGCTGGATTCCCAGGCATTTCATCCCTCTAAAGGGACCAAAATACAGATTTACTCAGACTCACTCCCTCTGAGCTGCAGCATCAAGGTGGCAGTTTGAAAGGCACCAGTGGCACACAGGGAGGGAATGAAGTGCCTGGCATCAGAGCAAGAGCTGGGGGACAGCTTTCTCCCAGACAGAATAGTGGGCAGAGGCCACTGTTCCTTTTCTGAACCCTCCCCTTATAAAGCCACAGAACTGGAAGGCAGGTGCATTTCTGAGACTCCATTAACCTGGGTAACACTGTTTACCCTTCCCTAGTGATTCTCTGAGGCTCCGTCCCACCCAGTTTACAGGCCCACCCAACCTGTTAACAGTGTTTTTTCCATATGAATGGCTTGTCTTTGTTTGTGTTTTATATCTTCTAAATCCTTCAAACAAGCAGCAGCCAGACTCAGTGAGCCCCCAGTGCCCATACCTATTGTTAAGTGGCCCCAAGCATAGCATTAGCAGCAGCCAGCCTAGGTTCACAGTTTGGCTTTCCATGGGAACCTCCTAGCCCAGCAAAAGTAGCAGCCATCTGCAGATTCCTTTGTACCTCATGCTGTGTGGCACCAGGCACAACACAGGTGGTATCTAACCTTGGCCTATACCACCCAGGAAAGCCCAGAGCCCACATAGCCAGGGAACAGCCACAGACCACATTGTATTACCACCACCTTGCCCTTGCACAGCTGATCTTTCATGAGGACAGACGTCAGTGGTCAGTGATCACAGCCAGTTCTTAGGCTGACTGGCCTGGGTAAATCCCTCCCATGGACCTGCAAACAACAATCAAGACTAAACCACAAGAGGAGATGTATTCAGCCCACACAAAAGGCTCACCTCAAGTACCCAACTTGGGTGACAGAGGAGGCTGTACCACAGGACCCTATAGGACACCTACTACATTAGGTCAACACCACGAAAAGAATCATATTAGCTCTACCTAATACATAGAAATAAACACAAGGAGGCTGCCAAAAAATGAAGAGACAAAGAAATATGGCCCAAATGATAGAACAGATCAAAACATAAAAAGAACTAAACAAAATGAAGACAGTCTATCAGATGCAGAGTTCAAAACACTGGTTATAAGGATGCTCAAGGAGCTTAGTGAGAATCTCAGCAGCATAAAAAAAGATCCAGCCAGAAACTAAGGATACACTAACTGAAGTAAATAACAATTTACAGGGAGACAACAGTAGAGTGGGTGAAGCTGAGAATCAAATCAATGATATGAAACATAAGGAAGCAATAAACAACCAATCAGAACAACAAGGAAAAAAGAATTAAAAAAAACCAAACAGAGTATCAGAAGTCTCTGAGACAGATTCAAGCACTCCAACATTCACATTATAAGGGTGCTAGAATGAAAGAAGGAGAAGCAAGAAATTGGAAATCTAACTGAAAAAATAATAAAATGAAACTTCCTTAATTTGGTGAAGGAAATAAACATGAAAGTCCAGGAGGCACAGAGAGTCTGAAACAAGATGGACACACACAGTCCCACCTCGAGACACATCATAATTAAAATGCTAAAGGTTAAAGATAAAGAGAGAATCTTAAAAGCAGAAAGAGAAAAGTAGTTAGTTACCTACAGGGAAGTTCCCATAAGACTGTCAGCTGATTTCTCAAAAGAAACTTTGTAGGCTCAAATGGATTGCCAAGAAATATTGAAAATCATGATAAGCACGAACCTGCAGGCAAGATTGCTCTATCCTTCAAAGCTATTATTTAGAATCAAAGGGCAGATAAAAGAGTTTCCCAGGCAAGAAAAAACTAAAGCAGTTCATTATCACCAAAACATTATTATATGAAATGTTAAAGTTATTTAAGAAAAAGATCAAAACTATAAACAATATAATGGCAATAGCTACATATCTATCAACAATTGAATCTAAAAAGCAAACTAAGCAAACAAGAACAACAGAGACAGAATCATGGATGCAGAGTGTTTTAATGGTTGTCAAATGAGAGGAGGGTTAAGGTGAAAAACTGAAGGAATTAAGTATAAATAGGTAGTTACAGAATTGCCATGGGGATGTGAAGTACAGTATAGGAAATGGAGCAGCCAAAGAATTACACACATGACCCATTCACATGAACAAAGGTGTGGGAATTGCCTGAGGGAGTGAGAGGGTCCTGGTGGGAGGGAGAAAAGTATAAAAAATTGGACAACTGTAATAGCATAATCAATAAAATATAATTCAAAAAAATAAATGTGAAAGTGCACTTCACACAGAGAGTTTCTCAATCATCAAAATGTGCCTGAACTTCTCTGGCCTGCTGCTTTGCGAGATGGGCCAGTGCTGAGCCTCTGAAATTCTCTTCTTTGGAAACAACACCTTCCAGTTCCAACACCCGAGGGCCAAGTGAGGAGGAGTAAAGGTAAGACATTAAGAAATCAGAGTCATTTATATGCAGCATAAGATAAGGTGCTGCTACTCTTGGCCTGTTTTTTCCAAAGTTGATTTGCCACTAAATTGCCTTGACCCCACAGCATGGCCAGGCACTGTACTCAAAGTGAAATTATCAAAAGCTTCTTACCAAAAAAAGTCACCAGGAGGAAGGAGCACGGTACAGTAGTAATAATAAGAGGGTAAAGTGTGAGACGACTTGAGTATTTGAAGAATGAGGTAGAAATAATCTAAGTAAAGTAAGCAGAGAAAAATATGAAACTTGGTTATAAATTATAAGGAAAAAGTATTACAATGTCTAGCATGTGCTTTTATTGGCCATCATTGGTTCACATAATAGAGAATACCTTCATGTGTCTCACCAGAGAGCAGGGCTCAGTCCCCTACAGTGGAGGGGACCGAGAGGAAAAAGGGCAGAGCCTGTGTGTTGAGCACAGACTCTAGAGTTCAGGTGGATCTCATGTCACTCGTGAGCTGTGATTTAACTTCTCTGGGGCCTACTTGCCTTGCCAGTAAAATGAAGTTAATAATACTTCCTACCTCCCAGGAACCTTGCGAGGACTAAATGCGTAAAGTACTTGGAAAAGTCCTGGGACCTGGGAAGCTCTCTGTACATATTGGGACAATGAATAAGTCCCTATTCTGGCCCTGTTCTATGCCCTGAGCATTAAATATTAGAGTTGTCAAGCTTCCACATTATCTCACTTGAGTTGGAAAACTCCACTATAGTCAGAGCAAATACTCGTCTCCGCCTTTAACACATAAGGAAATTGAGGCCCATAGAGGTACAGTGACTAATCTGACCAAATTCATACTTGAGGGATCAAACTAGAACCCAGTTTTCTCAGGTGTTTAACTTGTGATCTTATCTACTTTCAGGCTAACAATTCAAGATTGCTCTGGTATTTTGAGAGAATTTTCTGTCAGATTCCATTCCTATCTTGCCCTTCCCTCCCCTACCCCATGACAGTTGAGTCTTCATCTCTCAAACAAGGAATATTCCTCTTCTCTTTAAAGGTTCTTGGCCAAAAAGAGCAAAGTTCTTTCCTTCATGGTGGCCTCTCTCTGTTATATTGTGAAACACACAGAAAAGCTGGGTATGCATGACTCGGCAATTTTGTACTCTCAGAAACCAACAAAACACTACTCATGAGATTAGGAAAAAAGATAATCCATGTCCTTTGTTGCAGTTTATGAGTTCTAGAATTTCTTGATGGGACTGAGGTAACTAGAGTTGGCCTCCTCAGCTGCAGAGCCCAGGGGCTACCAGGAGAATGTTGGTGGCTGGGAAGGTGGGAGGGGGATGTGGGGTGAGGCTGTTCTCAGGGAACTGTGCTGACTTCCTGTGCCAGCCTCAGCAATTAAAGAACTCCATTCCTAAAACAAACCCTTAAAAAAACTGTTTGTCTGACACGGAGACCAATATGCAAATGTAAGCCAATTTTAAGAAGTGACCGAAATGGTTAGTACACACAGGCCTTTTATTTTGGACAAGGCAGAGGACAGCAAAGCCCCCAAACCAGCCTAACTCCCAGGTTATAAACCCACTTGAGATGCAAAAGGTGTATCTAGCTTGGTATTCACGGCAGGCTAGAGCCCTGAGGACTCCAGGCTGTTAGCTGGGCGCCAGGGAAGTTGCCCTCTGGCTGTATAACAATGCTTGGAGCCCACTTGGCACTCCCTTGGAGAGAAGGTGGGAACTGGGAAAAGAACAAAATAGAAGGGGTGCCAGGACTACCAAGAGGCCTTGGAACTGTTTCAGAGGAAGCAGGGAAATGGTAGACACCTTTCACTCCACCATCCAGGTCCCAAGATAGCAATAATATCCGAGGCCTCCACTCCCAAAGAAACTCCCCTTCTCTTTCCGTCCCAAACGGCTTCCTCCTCCAGATTGAGGGTGGAGAGTCTCTAGAGAGTTCCATTCTTACTTTCCCAATCAACTGGCCATAAAAATATCATACCGTCTGATCCGTGTTCTACTGCAGTTTTTAACTTAATTATTATTACAGTATCACCGTGTCTAATCCATGTCCTCCTGCACTTTGTGGTTATTGTTGTTGTTATTATTATCTTAAACTTGCTGATGTTTCTCCTGCCTAACAAAGGGACTTTGTGAACAGGGAAGACAAGTTCTGTTTTCAGTGTTTACAAATGCCCGTTTGACCATGCAATGGAGTCGCTTCAGCATTTTACACCCTTAGGGTGAACAGAAGTTGCTTAAACTGCAGAGACTTCATATGCAGTGCTACAACTTGCACGTACTTTTTATTCCCCCAAAGGTTCAAGGGAGTCCTTTCTAAGTGGGTGAGAATAAATCTCAGGAGTGACCACGGAAAAAGTGAAGTCAAGTTGCTGGCTGACTTGCGACCTCCCAAGCCTATACCCGCAACCAACCTCGCCCCTACCCGCCCGTCACCCTCTCCACAGCGCCTCCCTCCGCATCCCCTCCCCGGCACGCACCGTGGATCACAGCAGGAGCAAGGCACCAAACCTGTCCCAGCAAGCGGGTGGCTGAACTGCGGGGACTTTCACTACGCGCGGCCGGACTAGAAGCAGGCGCCACGCCCACTCTGCCTAATTTCCTATTAATCTGCTCTCAGCGCTGAAAGCGAGGCTCCCAGCCTCGCCAAGCCCCTCCCCTAAATCGCCTGATCGTTTTTTTCCCAGAGTAACCTCCGCCTACAGGTTCCCCTTTTTGACCTTCGTATTTGGCGCCAGAAGCAGCTCTGCTTTCTTAATTGCCATTTCTCCCATTCAGTGGGGTTGAGACGTTGGCGACTGTCTAGAAACCCTGTAGCCTCCAACATTTCAAGTATGGGATAGCAAGGCAAAGGCAGTTAACTTTTATTTAATTGGAAACAATTTGTAAAAACTTTCATGTTGGATCTTGAACGCATTAAAAGCTTTATAGGAAATTTAAATCTCTGGGCGGGGCAGGGGGGAGGGAATACTGATTGGAAGTCACCAGTAACGTCAAGTTCCTTTGAATTTCACTCTCGCTGCACCCGGACAAGACAAAGGCTGGCACTGACGCAAGTAAACGTTGAGTAACGATCGCCTAGATTATCCCAAATCTGTGATCCCAGACAACTTGCTTCCTCACTGTATCCTCTTACGTTGAGAATCGAAAATGGAAGTGGAGATTATTCTAGTTCACTTCACTTCACAATCAGTTTAGTATAGTTTTTACAGGGACACTTAGGGGAATGTTTTAGGAAGGCATATTTATTGTAACATCAATATCTACATTAAGGGTAGTTTCAAGATTCCTAACCCCACAACAATATTTATGGATCTAGCTCTTGTGGTTTATCTAAAAATGTTCAAGGATTTATGCTTTCAATCTATGTTACTTCTCCCCTGGTAATATACCCTACATTTTTACCACCTGCTATGTGTAGTACGCTACCTTTTTTTTCTTTTTGGTCATATTGTTACCTCTTGTAAACTCTAAGCAGTGTCCTGGGAACTAGCTCTTAGATTTGATGGCCAAGTCCAAGTTCTACCCAAAAAGAAAGTATGACTTAGCAGTTTGCTCTAGGAAAGAGGAATTAATCACAGGCCTGGGGACAATTTCTGCACAAGCATATCAGTAGGAGTGTTGGAAAATCTAGCATCAGAAGACATTAGCACTTCATTTCCATGTTTGTATTTTTTGAAAACTATATTTATTCACCTATCTTATTCAAGTACATGGGAACCTGGCTGTAACACTAACTGAAATAGGACAGAATTTGAGATAAGTCTGTTTGGAATTCTCACCACAGGACTTCAGTACTACAAGAATTTAAAAGACCCCTTCATTCACTATGAGGTGATATGGCCCCAATGTGATGGATAATATTACAGAAAATGCTACAGACAGCTTATAACTTAAACAATTTGCTCTGCAGAGTTCCAGATGAGCAGTTTTGAAAAGTAGTACCTGATTCATCTGATACTCAATTATAAAATGCATTCAAACTTAACTGATCAATGAATAAATACTGAGTCCCTGCTATCAATAAACCATGCCTATCTATTATATATATATGACACTGTCATATATATGGTACAACATCAGCACTTGATTGGAATAAATTTACTACAATAGACACTTAGGAAATAAATACAATGCTTTTGGCTGTATGCTACAATCTGAAACTAAGATAATAATATCAAATAATTGTGCTTAAGGAGTTTCAATCTAGTAAACACAAGACACCCCAAAAAGTAAAAAGTTGCCACTAAACTTGAGAAAGAAAAGATTTCAGTTTAGGAATGAGAATGAAAATTGGGGCATGAACTAGGATAATAACAGGAAAAAGGTTGTGAAAGAATTTACACTTTATATTCATCTTTGTTATTTGCTCTTAAATGAGCATGGAAGAGAAAGAGTTATTATTATTTGGCTTGTTTTAGTGTGGGTAAAGGGAAGGGTTCAGACTTCGAACCTTGCTCCCCACCACCATTTCCAGCCCATGAAGAAATCTGTCAGAAAAACCCGTACCCAAGCTTTGGGACCAGTAGTTCTTTATTAGGTATTAAGTCAGTTTAAAAGGTCATCGGTTTGGGTTAGGGAGAGCAAAGGTCATCCATTCAGCAACGAGTAGCTGGCACAGCAAAGAAAAGAAAGATCAAATGAGAAAGGTCTGGAAGAATAAAGCATTAGAATTCTAGCAGCTCTTTCCTTTCAAAAAAACAGACAAGAGAAAAATATCAAAAAGGATCACCATCATCACTAGACTAGGTTTCTTGTAAGTAGGAAGGAATCAGGTACCCATCACTCGTGATGATGAGTATCTTAGATCTTTCCCCCCCTAAATCCACAGACTAGGTGTCCCCACAATTTAAAACTGAGGGCACATACCCTTCTTGGAGATTTCAGTAAACATAAATGATAATACATCTTAAGGTTAAAGAAAACAAAAAAATGGAATCAAAATATGCAACATTCTACACATACAATTATTATTTTAGGATTATAATATATTTTAAAGGCATACTAAATTGTTTAGCTCTGCCAACAACCCAAAAAGGGAGTTCTTATTTCTCCTATCTTATACACAGACACTCAGATCCAGAGCAATTTGGAACTTGTAATGACTTCAAAAATAAACTCTGAACCTAATAACCTACCTGTAGGGCATAAAAGTAGCCACAAGGAGAGGGACAAATCTAAAAAATAAATAAATAAAACTCATGAAGCTAATCCAGAGAGTATGGAATAAGATAGAAAAGTAAGTGAAAGAATAGAATGGGATCCAGAAGCAGAGTCACACTAATTGGTCACTTGATTTTCAACAAAAGCGCTGAAGCAGTTCAACAGAGCAAGGAAAGTGTAACACCTGGATAGACATGTGGAAAAAACTCTAACCCCTAGCTCACACCATACACTAAAATTAATTCGAGATCATTTACCTAAAGCTTAACACTACAGAACTTCTAGAAGAAAATATCTTCATGGCCTGGGAGTAGACAAAGATTTCTTAGGCCATATCCAAAAATTATTATCTGTAAGACAAAATCATTTGGATTTCATAAAAAAATTAAATCTTCTTCTCACCAAAAGATATCATTTAAAAAATGAATTGGGGGATTAGGTCGGGAAGATGGCGTCGGAGTAAGAGGGAGCGGATTCTAGCTCCCGCACTCGTGGTTGAAAATCCTGGCAGATCTATAGAAAAGCAGCGCACCAATCCATCAGTTATCCAGCATTTGTGAAATTGAAAGAACAGAGACTCTGTTGGACGCTGAAACACCAGAAAGCGGCAGGTCAGTGGGGCTTTGGGGTCCAGAGTAAAGACAAAGCAGCGGCGGGGGCTGGCGCCCCAGGCCAGGTGGCCCGGGTGCTGCATCTACAGCCGGGGTCCAGAACCATCGGTCTGAGACCAACACCAGAGAGGTCTACCACAGGAGCTTGGGCACCCAGCGGCTCCAGTGGCCACCAGCGTGGGCCAGCAGCTCCCCCTGCTTCATGTATAAGCAAAACTGGACAACACCGGGCAGAGACCCGTCTGCTTGCCGGCTTGCATTTTTGGGGGAGGGGTACAAAGACACAGGGCCCGGTTCAACTGCAGACTCTGTGATTGCAAGCCTGGGAGGAATCCAGAGACGCATTAGCCTCACGGGTTTGGTTGGGGACTGAGCAGGAATGAGAGACAGGATGTCCGGAAAGTTTTGTTTTGTTTTGTTTTATTGAAAGTGGACTGAGGTGTTCTCCTGCCAAGGCAGATTGGCTTGTTTCCTATCCAGCCTTGCAGCGAGCCAGGGGGAAAGTGGAGGCTTTTGGGGACTAGCCACACGAATGGGAAGCGCCCTGCCGGTTACTCCGGGTCCCAGAAGGTCTGTTGGAAGCGGAGGCCTCTGAGCCAACACCAGGGGACTGGGAAGCCCGCTGCCGCTGCCGGTTACGCCAGTCCCAGAAGGACGAGCTCGCGGGCACAGAGAGTTCAGAGAGGCGCCGCAGGACAAAGACACTCCCTGACGGTTTCCTGCTCCCATGCACAGCCGGACTCTGGCGCGCACTGGCGCAGGGATCTTTGAGCCGGGGCTACTGGTCCTAGAAGCGCCAGACGGTTTCCCACGCGAGCGGGGGCGCAGAGAACTCTAGGCTGACTCCACTAGGGTCGGGAAGTGCTGGGGCCGGTGCGGACCCGGAAGCGCTGGTTGCACAGTCCCGGACAGCCCGGGAGTGTGCCCGGCAAGTGCGCAGGCACCCACACCCCAATCCGATAGCCTGGCTAGTGCGCGCGGCGGGTGCACAGGCGCCCACACCCCAAGCTGGTAGCCCGGCTGGTGAGCGCACTTGCGCCGGCATCCCAGCACACAGGGAGATCCTGCTACAACGAGAAAAACCAGTCTGGACAGTTTGAAACCAACAAGGGAAAGGTTTCTCTGTTGTGGTTGTTACTGTTTATTTGTTTTTTTTTTGTTTTTTGCCAGAGGTTGGCCAGGGGACCCAGACAAACACAGGAACAGAAGGGATACACACCACGCAGCGTGCCATGACGAGCACACAGAGTTTTTAGGTCAGCGCCCAGTCCTCAGATCGGCTCCCAGCTTCCAGTCTCCCCCCCTCAGACTATCTGGAAGCCCGGGACGCTGAGGGGTCCTGGGAAAAGAGCTGAGACCCTCAACCCCCTCCCTTTCTGGCCAAGCAACGTGGGGGGCCAGGAGAGACTTGTTTGATAGAGTTTACAGAGAGGGTGTGGAGGACAAAGGGCCCCAACCAAAGACTCTGTGGTTGCCAGCCCAGGAGAACTCAGAGGTACAGCCTGGGGCTCTGAATCCAGTAGACACGACAGCCTGCTCTGCTTCACACCCAGCTTGGCAGCGAGCCCAGGATTGGGCAGAGGGTCTGGGGCCTCCCAACTGAACGGGGACAGGCCTGTGCTCAATCCCGAGGGAACCAGGCAACTAGGCCGGTGCAGGTGCCTGCAAACACAGCAAACCAGACTATGGCAGTAACCCCTGGGAGGGGAGCACTGCGAGAAAGTCCTAGCTCCCCATTGTAGGGAGCTGGGGGAGAGGCGCCAAGTGTCTGGATCCTGAGAGGGGCTGGCTGAAAAAATCACAACAA